GTCCATGGTACTTTCAGCATTCTCCGCCAGCACCACAACTCAAAAGCATCAACTCTTCTTCGGTCTTCCTTATTCATTGTCCAGCTCTCACATGCCTGCCAATCTTAGATTGTGCCATTTTGCCTGTCAACCTTGGGTTCATCAGCCTTAGCAGCCAGCATCTGCATAAATCAGAAGAAGCCTCTAGCTTGCCCTAGTGGGCCTGGAACAAGAGGCAGAGCTAAAGCCCAAGGTCGAGGGGTCTTCACCCAGCTCATAGAGCTGGCACTTTGAATTCGGACTTATAGCCTCCTAAACTGCGAGAGAATAAATTCCTGTTTGTTAAAGGCATCAACTTGTTGTGATATTTCTGTTATAGCAGCACTAGAGAACTAAGACCTGTATACTTTTGCTCATGCTAGAAACAGACACAGCTGGTCTATTAAATCTGGGCATATAAATGTGATCAAGTTTGGCAATGACACCAATTCAGATATAAGTATCAGATACTTTAGAAATAAAGGGATCTCAGGTACCAATATAGTCAGCTCCATAATATCCATTAAGGTATTTTAAGTGATCATAAAGGTCATTTTACTCAAGAAAGATTGGGAGAAATAGAATGAGCCTGGGACTAGAAATATTAGGTCAAACAACTTCACTAAAAAAAATGTGTGATTTGTGAAATGTATAGTATGTGAATTACATCTCAATACAACTGCTACCAGATAAAGAAATAAGTGGTAGATAGAGTATCTAGGTACAAAATTTTAAAGACTAGTGATCCATTAAAGAGTAGGATTACAGAATATTGTTTGGCAAGCAGTTGCTGTTAGTCTTGTCCACTCCAGCATCAGGTCTTCAACAAAAGCAAGAGTTGGCCCACAGGCCTCTGAAATGATGTTCAAATGCCTTCTGAATCAGGTCTAGTGACTGTCAAATGACTGACTGCCTGCTGATCTTAGCAAGAGAGTCACTGACAACATCGAGATCATGCCGCAGCTCGTTCATAGCGCTGGTTATGCTCTTGATATCTTTCAAGATCTGAATACTCCGTGTGTATGGATTGTACTTCACTCCAAATGGACGCTTAATTGTTCTGGTAAACTCTCTATTTAAGAAAACAAATAAGAGATGATCAATTTCTAGGGAAAATGATGAAAACCAAATAAACAACCGCAACCCCATTTCATACACTAGGCAAAAGACAACTCTTCACTAGATGTATAAGCACCCAATCTAATTTACCGTCCCACATATCATGTGCACAGGCTCCTGGAATCCTGCATGGATGGAAAACCTAAAGTGGCCATGGATACATCTGCCTTGTATTACTAGGGAAAAATCATGTGGGTAGCCTCATTAATGATTTAATACTGTAGACATCTCTTGACTGGAATCAGGAGACAATGACAACATTCAACCACACAGCAACAGATCCTTCCACTGTGATTTACATAACTACATCTACACACATGCAAACACACATACACACACCCTGAGGTCAGGAATAGTCCTGCCTCCCACATATGAGTACTCTGCCTTATAATGTTTTCCTCTAGCCTCCTCAGATGATCTGGTAGCGTAGTGCCAAAGCACATGACTGCTAACCAGAAGGCTGGCTGTTCAAACCCACCAGCCACTCCTTGGAAGGAAGGTGGGGCAATCTACTTCTGTAGTGATACTGCCTCAGAAACCCAAGGAGAGGTTGCTATGAGTCGGGTCAGATTGAATGGTACATAACAACAACAACAATAACAACCTCAGATGATCTAAGTTTTACCTTTCTTCAAGTATCATCTAAGGTTTGCCTCCTCTGTCAAGGCAACATTTGAACCTCTCAATTGGCATCTCTCAGGGACAATCATGTTTAGGACCCCCAGAGACAACTGTGCAGCTGAGGATAATTGTACATCAGTAAGGGCTGAAATAGAGCTGGCAATCTGCTTTGTTTACCCAGAGGGGATCTCTTTTTCTAATTTGCACAAAACTGCCATATGTGCTAGAGGAAGTCCTGCTGGTGGTGTTATTTTGTTCTATGCGAAGCCCTAACTCCCTTGACTAACAGTAAATCCCTGGGAGACAAGGAGTGTGTCTCCAAGCCATAGTATCCCCAAGTTCACGGTGTGGCATCATGAACGCTTTCCCTAAATGTTGTTTTGTGGTTTGCTTCTATAATCCTCTCCTTTCCTACTACCTCTATCTTAGTTCAGACTTTTATTTTTCACCTGAAGTACTAGAATAATTTCCTAAATAATCTATCTGCCTCCAATATCCTCCTTTCTTAACCACACACTTAGCTGGTTAATAACTAAAGCATAGCTTTGATTGCTTCACACATATGTCCCTATATTTTCCCACCTCCCTACCTTTTTTCATGCTGTCCTTCAGCCTAAAACTTAATATGTATAATTCTGATATATCCTTCATGTCCTTCTCAAGTGCCATTAGACTTGCCCTGTGCCCCTAGCTGGAACCAATTGCTCCTGAACAAAATGCAGAACAATGTTTCATCTGTGCCTCTGTAAGGGTCCTGTCACTTTGTTTCTGTCAGCTTGTAACAATAAATTGTTACATAGTACTTTATATTTTATTTATTTTTTTCCTTTTGGACTATAAACTCTCTGATGAGAAGGAATGGGAGGAAACCAATTTCTAAAGGATTTGTACCTGTTTGCAACTACCCCACATCATTATACACAACACACCCTAAATATTTGTTGAGAAAGGGAGGAGTGTTAAGGGCAGAGGCTGCTAGTGGTACTTACTCCATGACTTGTTACCATCACTGGATCTTATCTTTTGTGGAGAAAAAATGAAGGCATGAGAAAGATATCTTTTACCTCATCTTCTCCTTTGCATCTTCAAAGCTTTCTGATACAAAGTAGACGTCCTGGAAAGTTGTGATGAGACACTCTTGTTTGCAGGTAATCTTGGGATCAAAGGGCTTTACTTTGGCATGTCCAGAAAGTGCATGCTAGAGGGCAAAGAGTCAGTGAATCAAATAATCTAATCTATTCTCATAAATCACATTCTACAAACAACTAGCAGAATCAGTGCAGATGGAATTAAAAGGAATTAACTCTGAATGTGTTACCAGTGGAAAGACCCCAATCTATACCTAGCTTGCTGTTCCTCATAAACGCCCCCAAGATCCTCTCTATGACTTTGTTCAAACTCTTTTCCCCATCTAGGAAGCACCCATGGCTCTCTATACTTCTGAACTCCAAAGCACATGACTGGTTTCTGCACTATAGCACCTATTCTCTACCCTGCATCAGTGTATTCATGACTTATACCCACTACCAGTTGGTCATCTCCTTAAGGGCAAGACAGAATCTTGGACAATGTCCAGCAAACATCAGTCAGTCAACAAACCTAAGTTAATTCCTTCCCTGGGTAAATAATAAAACTCAAATAACTCTCTAGAAATGACAGAAGTGATTGCTAGTATAATAGTAGTGGGCGAACAAGATTTTGTAAACACTTTTTCTATTATAAAAGATACGTGTGTGCATGTTGAGACAACTTGGGAAAAAGAGAAAAATGCCTCTTAAATAATGTTTATGCCACCCTTTGTCTTTTCCATAGTAAGCTCTTACTCAAGTCCAAGAAGTAGTCTAAATTATATTATGTTAGGCAAATCTGGTGATGTGCAAAAATTTACAGCTCTTACTTTGAGTTCACTGATAGAGGAGAGCAGGCCAGCACCAAAGACTCTTAGCTGCCCATCTTGTTTACACAGACCAAACTCCACAGTGAAGAAGTAGCACTGCAAAAGAACATGAGTATTACTTTCACATCCTGAATGACTTGAATTAAAACAAACTACAATTCTTAGTCATGGACCACAGAACCCCAGAATAAAGTCCAAGATTCCCTGCCTGGCACACAGGACTTGCCACATCTGGCTTTATTCTAAAACAGTGGTTCTCAAACCTTCCCAGGTCTCTAGTACATTTAAAAATTACTGAGGACCCCAAAGAGCTTTTGCTTATGTGGCTTGTGTCTACCTATAGTTACTACATTAGAAATTAAAACTGAGAAAATACTTAAATGTTTGTTAACATAATGTTAAAGTAACAATAATGAACCCATCATATGGTAGCATAAATAACATTTTAGTGAAAAGTAGCAATATTTTCTAAAACAAAAAAATAGAAAAGCATTGCCTTTAATATTGCAAATCCTTTTAATATCTGGTTTAATTGAAGAAGTTGGATTTTCATATCTGCTTCTGTATTTAACCTGCTTATACGTTGTTTTGGTTGAAGTACAGGAAGAAATTCAGCCTCATACAGATAAGTAGTTGGAAAAGGGAAGAGTATTTTAATAGCCTTTTCAGATAATTGTGGATATTTTCTTTGCTACTACATCAAAACTTGACAAGTGGTAGTTTCTTAAAGTTCAATTGCAGTATGGAATCTGAAACCATATCAATAAACTCTGTTACATTAAAATACACTAATTCTTGTGGTCCAGTGGTTAAGTGCTTGGCTGCTAACCAAAAAGTCAGCAGTTCGAACCCACCAGTAGCTGCCCAGGAGAAAGATGTGGCAGTCTGCTTCTGTAAAGATAAAAGCCTTGGAAGCCCGATGGGGCCGTTCTACTCTGTTCTACAGGGTCACTATGACTTGGAATCTACTTGGTGGCAAATGGTTTTTTGGTTTATCTTCCACTTTGATTGATTCCTTTACCTAGGCATGGTTTTGGCCTTGTGGACCCCCTGGAAGGGTCTCAGGGATGCTAGGGGTGCCAAAACACAAATTTGGAAGCACTGTTCCAAACCACCTACCCTTATTTCATACTGCCTCCCCCATCCTCACACACTACTCCAGCTTCTCACTGTTTCCCAAGATACACCAAGCACCTTCTTGTCTTGCCTTCCCCCCTCTCTTGGCACATGAAAACATGACTCCACTTGCAAGCTCTAGTTCAGATTCCCCTCTTGCATGAAACCTTCCCCTAACAGTCCTTCCCAGAGCACTTGGCCTGGACTCCTCTTATAGCCTTTACCTTCTTCTAACATAACTGTCTCCTATGTGGTATATCAGCTCCTTGAAGGCAGAAACCAGGCCTTATTCATCTTTGTATTACCAGCATAGTGTCTTGTGCTCAGTGCACAAAAAAGTTTTTCATCAACTCCGTAATTTTTATTGAAAATAGGAGATATACAAATTACTAATATTATTATAATCTAGTTTTTCTCTACCTTTTTTTAAAGCACATATCTCTTTTCCTTTAATGTTTTTTTTAAATTAAATACTATAAACAAATTTTTTAATGGTATCTTGAATATGTACTTTTAAACTACACAGATGCTCACACACTTTATACTACTTGAGAATTATCGATCTACACAGCTATTTCCAGATTTATACCGTTGCCAGTTTTTGAACAGCCTCCTCTGAAGCACCAAGGGATGCCAGGCCAATTTCTTGAGAGAATTGGGCAAAACTAGGTTCAGCCAATAGTGGAACATGACCTAAGAGTTCATGGCAGGTATCTCTAAAAAAGAGGTACAAGTTTGTCACACTGTGATGCTTAACACAAACACATAATCAATCATTCAATCCTGAATTTTTAAAAATCAAAATCTAATCTTACTTTATTCAAACTGATTAGGTGGTATTACCTTGGTAATGGATCACAAAGGACACTAATCAAATAAAGAAATGGCTCTGATGCAAAATCTTTGGTGCTCACAGATATCACATACAAATGCCTATCAGATATCCCAAGACATCACATGACTCCTTCCCATCCCATTAGATCTCTGCTCAAATGTCACCTCCTCAGCAAGGCCTTCACTGATCATTCTTTTCAAAATAGCAACACCCACACACATCTCTGTCCCTTTTCCTGCTTCATTTTTTCTTCATCACACTCATTATCATCTGATATATTGTATATACTTACTTCTTTATTACTAAGTAAGTATCTTCCAATGGAATGTAGGCAAGGATTTTTTCAAAGTTACATGCCTTTGCCCAGAGCAGCACCTGGCACCTAATAACTTGTCAGTTGATAATAGTAACAATAATAACCCTGGATTGTATAAATAGTTGGCATGCTCAACTGCTAACAGAAAGGCTGAGGGTTCAGGTCTACCCAGAAGCACTTTGGAAGAAAGTCCTGGCAAAATACTTCTGAAATCTCAGCCACTGAAAATCCTACCAAGCAATATTCTACTCTGGCACACATGGGGTCGCCATGTGTCAGAGGAACTCGACAAAATTTGTATGACATTCATAGAGCACAGAGCATATAGTATGCATGCCAGGCAATGCTCTGAATGCTGTTCAAGGGCTAACTCATTTTATCCTTACAAAAGCCCCAGGGGATAGGTACTTTACTATAAATGATATTTGATGAATGAACAGCTGAAGTAGAAATACTTACGGCTCTGGGGTATAGAGGGGATCTGAACTGTGCCTCACATATTGAGTGCAGTGAAAAACTCGAAAGGCTAAACCTGATAGGAAATCTCTTGGTGATAGGTAGCCAGCCACAGGACGGATGGAAAAACCTGTGCGCTCTGCAAAGCAAAGGAGAAAAATGCAGGCAAAATCTTCACCAGTACATAGAGTAAATGACTGCAGCATTTTAATTCTGCCAGTGACACTAAGTGACACTTCAAGGGAGGACATAGAAACTAAAGTTTATAATATACATACTGTTGTTGTTGTTATGTGCCATCGAGTCAGACCTGACTCATAGCGACCCCTCCTTGGGTTTTCGAGGCAGTATCACTACGGAAGTAGATTGCCCCATCTTCCTTCTGAGGAGTGTCTGGTGGGTTTGAACCGCCAGCCTTCTGGTTAGCAGTCAAGTGCCTTAGGCACTATGCTACCAGAGCTCCTAATACATGTACTAAGGGGAACTAATACTTAATAAGGACTTAGCATGACCAGGGAGTAAGTTGCACCCTTTACATATTATTATGGATTGAATTGTATCCCCAGGAAAGGTATGCTGAAGTTCTAACCACTATTCCATGAATGTGACCTTATTTGGGGAAATAGCATTTTTCTTTGCTGATGTTACCAGCTAAGTTAACAGTATCATACAGGAGTAGAGTTGGTCCTAATTTCTCCTGTAGGGTATCTTATAATAGGGAGAGACACATGGGGGGAAGACTGATGCCATGTAATGATGGAAGGAGACGCCTCTAATAAACAGCAAAGGAACACCAAGGGGTGCCAGAAGCCAACAGAAACTAAGAGAAGGTCATGGAACAGTTCTCTCTCTCAAAGCCTGCAGAAGGGATCAACATGGCCAATGCCCTGATTGAGACTTCCTGCCTCCAGAACTGGGAGAAAATACATTTCTGTTCTTTGGAGTCATTTATTGTATGGTATTTTGTCATAGAAGCCCTGGGAAGTTAAGCCCCATATCACATCTCCTTTCATGTTTACAACATGAGTAAGAATTACTTTCCTCATTGTAACCATTATAAAACTGAGGCCCAGATTATGTTCCCAAGGCCACACAGTAATGATGAATGTAGGAAGAGAGCTCATGTCACCTTACTTTCAAATAGCTCTTTTGGCAAGGTCTTCATTTTGAGTCAAAAGTTTGTACTTTCAACCCAGCAGTCCTTTACTTTAGGTTCACATAATAATCTTTCAAATACATTAGACAGACTTTCAAGTATTTAAATAAAGCTATTTAAATCACAAACCAAATACCTTCCCAATGAATTGATTCCAACTCATAAAGACTCTATAGGAGAGAGTAGAACTGCCCCATTGGGTTTCCAAGGCTGTAATCATTATGGAAGCAGACTGCCACATCTTTCTCCCATGGAACAGCTGGTGGGTTCAAACCATGGACCTTTTGTTTAGCAGCTGAGCACTTTAACCACTGTGCCACCAGAGCTCCTAAATAAAGCTACAATGTCCCCTAAATCTCCAAAGCAAACACCGTAAGTTCTTCAAATTTTACTTCATGACACATTTTCAAACCCCCTTATAATTCTGCTCATTTTCCTCTAGACTTACTTCCAAGTTATCACTGTCCTTCTTCAAATGTGGTTCAAACCCACCAGCCACTCCTCGGAAAGAAGGTTGGGCAATCCTACTTCCATAGTGATACTGCCTCGGAAACCCAAGGAGGGGTCGCTATGAGTCGGGGCCGACTC